TGTGGGAACCACACTGTTCAAATGGGATGCCCTTATTTCACATTCTATTTGATATTAATAAAAATTTAGTGCTTGGCATTCTCTCTGGGAATAATAAATATACGATCCCTAAGCTGGCTGCCTTTCACAGGCAGTAATTGCTAAGGAAGAAACTGTTTTGCTGTGACTTTCTAGTAAGATGTGAGCAGTGGCTATATATATATCTTCTAAGATAGAAAAAACCTGAGAGATCAGTTTGCCAAAAAAGGTAATTTTGTATTGTTTTCAACTGAGCATATTTAATGGTGCTTCATATCTCTTAAGAAAGTAGCGTGAAGTTAACGTTGTCACCAAGGTCAATTCCCCATCCTGGTTCTTTCTGAACTAGGATGTGACCTGAACAAATGACTGTGCAGCTGTCCCTTTGTATCCTCGGGAAGCTGGTTCTGGGTCACACAGACGCCAGACTCTCTGGCTACTGAAGTTCCTTCTGTATTCATAAAATGACAGAAGTGTTTGCACAGACCACGTGCACATCCTCCTACGTGCTAAAGCATGTCCAGGTGACTTGTGATGTCCATGCGAGTGTAAGTGCCATGTGAGTGGATGTGATACGGGGCTGTCAGGGGAGGAAGACAAGGGAGAAGCCTGTGCATGTTCACCACAAACTCGGTTTCTTTTTTATTATTACTAAATAAAATAATAACCATCGCTTCACAGTTGACTAAAACACATGTGGAGAATAGAGCAGATGCCTATCTCCCTCTAGGAGTACACACTTGATTCTCAGAGTATTCCTGGGATGTCTTCCAGCAGATGGGAACTTCTGGGGAAGGAAACTGTAACAGATACAGTCCTGGGCTGCTAAAGAAAAGAACAGAAACCTTCCAAGGAGCCAGAGCCAATGAAGCATGACTGTCACTGTTTCCTTATTTTGGTTCACGTAAATGCATTGAAAATTTTGCAGTTTCGGTTAGTGTAGTAGAAATTCAATTGCTTTTCAGTTCTCTTTTTACCCCCCAATGGCTTCTGCAAGTCTACTTCCTGTACTGTGACTTACTGGTTAATGTTGCATTCGACACATTGGTGTAGGCTGGAGGAAGTGAGCTTGCTTTTTTTCTGGGCCTTGCTCATGCTAGGAAACACTACACTGAGCTCCACGCCCATTCCCAGCCTGGACCTGGGTTTTAGTTGTTCTTTCAGAACACTTCCCTAAGCTCTTTCGCCCCCCTCACCAAGTTCATTGAGAATGCTTGGCCGGCACCCATGGGCCTTTCCATGAAAAGACGCTCCAGGGCAAATAAAATACTCTGCTTAATGAGATATTATAAGTTGCTCAGGTTTGCCAACTATCCTTGTCCCCTGTACTGTTCATCTAGCCTGGAGCCCAATCAATATTTGTGGAATACAGGCCTAGAAGATTCCAGCACACCTCTACCTATCACCATAGGAAGGTACTCGTTATCTTTTAAACACCTCCTGCCCAGCTGGATATACAGAAAAGAACACATGCCAGTCTAAAACAAACCCTGAAGATCACCTCCACTAGTGGAATGGAAAGAATGGGAAACGCTTTCAGATGTGTTGGATGCAGATGTAGATAAGAGCATACTTGGAAATAACTCCTGAGGCTCTGACTGGAACATCTAGACGGACAGGTGTGTGTGTTAGTGGGGGTGAGCACAGAGGTCAGTCTCTAAAGAGTCACCAAATGGTCTTACCTCACAAATTATCTGGTGCCAAGGAGCCAGCTGTGTGAGAGTCTCGGAAACAGAATAAAAACTTGCAGCAGTAATGGGTGCCTAGGTATTATAGGTCATGTTGGATTATGGGGTAGCCATGGAAGAGAAGAAGCAGGTCATGGGGTACTAGGTTCATTATTCAGGGTGAGGAGAGCACTTGCCAGGGACAAAGTCAGCCTTTTCTTCCTCTGCCAAACTGCTGTCGATGGATATAGGGTTCCTGGACTCCACCCACACTGGGAAGTGGCCCAGCTGTGGTTACTGAGTGCAGCTCCTTTAATGCCTGTTTCAAACTTTCCATCAACCTTGCGATTGCTACCACTCCTCAGTCTTCTCAAGGGAACGGCTGCTCAGTCAACTCACTTTTCTAGGATAAGTAACATCATTTGTTTTGTTACTGTTGCCTTTAGGTTTTTGAGACAGATTCTCACTCAGTAGTCCCGGCTAGCTTGTTACTTTGTATCTTCCTGCCTCAGCCTTCCAGGGGTACTCCACCACGCCTCGTTTGGGGCAGTGCTGAAGCTCTAACCTACAGTCTATGGATGATAGGCAAGCACTGTAACATCCTCAGCCCTGAGATATCTTTGTTCTTCTTATCTGCATTGGATTAACTTGTTACCACTCCTGGGCGTGTCATGGAATCTGATGTTAACGTTTAACCAGAGTTGTGGTTTCTGCTAAGTTTCTTAACTCCATAGGCCTAGGTTTCCTCACCTGAAAACTGGAGCTATTAATAGTGTCTACCTACTTTTGTGTGATGATAAAATTAGTTTATTTATGGAAAGTGCGGAACAACCTTAGCAGTTAAGCATTTAATAAGTAGTGGTAGTCATTAGCTCCGTCTGTCAGAGTGTCTCATGACTGTATTCCAAACCATCCCACCTAATTAGAATTTGTTATGAAGAAAGCTGTAGGGCTAGGATGTAGCTCAGTGGTTGTCTGGTATGCATGAAGACCTAGATTCTATTCCCAGGTCCATGAAAAAAAAGAAAGAGGAAGGGACAGAGTGAAAGTGAAGAGGCGGGGGGGGGGGGGGGGGGGGGGGGGGGTTGGAGATCACTGACAAGGAACTTGTTTGTAAACTGCAAGATACGCCAGGGATCTACAGGGGAGGCGAGTAGGCTAAGGGTGAGCAGAGTGCCTCAAAACACCCTCTATTCTCACTTTTGATACATTTATAGATGACATTTCTAGAAAAGCTTCCTTGGAGGAAGAGCTTTGCTGAGGCTGGGGGCAGGGAGTCCCAGTCCCTCAACCACATTCCCAGTCAATAAAGCTTTCTTAGACACACCCCCTGTGCCCACTGCACAGTGGAAAAGCAGAACAGTGCTCCCTACTGTGGGGTAGTTAATGTCACAGCAGGTGTGGACGAGGCATATGTCCTATGCTATGGCAACCTTACAGAATTCAGCTGCACCACCAAGGTAGAGAGCCTGGGAAGGCTGGATGGGGGAGGGGACCTCAGTAGGTGCAGGTACGAGGAAGAGGTCCCCTGTCCTCCATCTCTCCTTTGGTCCAGGGACACAAATCTTGAGCAATTTCCATTCTTCAGTCTGGTTTGACTGGTACAGGAACAAAACCTGCCCTGTAGAAGAGGGTAGCCTGTGTGTCCTGTGGCAGAGAACAGTCATGTAAGAGAGAACTGTGTTGTGGGGAAATGCCCTTGGCACAGGCACACTTTGATGGACAAGCTATCACCTGAGTGATGTAGGACCCTGGGTTAAAATATTCTCTAAACAGAAGTTGCTCACATATTCAGTATCTTCTAGCTCATGAGGGCAGTGGGCTTTCCGCCATCCTGTTATTGCTGTGTGGGAGGAATGTTTGTAAAGGAAAGTTACAGCACACATTGCTGCCGTGGAAAGCCTACATTTATTTTTAAAGTACCTACTAGGCAGTGACAAGCTTGATGTATGCATGCCAGTGTGTGGGTCTCCGCACCTCGCCATTCTCTCCTGTATAATCTAAAATGGCAGCTAACCTGTCAGAATTCAATGTGAGCGAAGCTCCTTGGATATTTATAAAACACCAGAAAGACAAAATCGTACCAGCAAAAGGTGGGTCTTTGTCACTGCTCAGAAACAGGAGACTTTGGGATGGCAACTGCCAGCAGCTCCCCTGTAAACTGAGCTACCAGCCAGGGTATGGAGTTTGTTCAGGAAGGAGGTGTTATGCCCAGATAGCAGGGACCCCAAAAAGACCACCACGAAGACCAAATCCCATATGTAAAAGCAAAGAGCCTTATTTCAAGCTCCAAGCCTGATCTCTCTGTCTGTCTGATGAAGCAGCGTGAGCAGAGAGCCCCAAGCCCAGGCAGGGTAGGGTTTTATCATAGCAGAGGTTGGGGTGAAAGGATTCCTAGGGTTCAGGACCCTGATTGGCTGACAGTTGTCTAGGGGTATCTGCAAAACAGAAATAGGTGAGTGCTAGACTCAGGGACATCTGGCCATCCCTTATCTAAATGGTTGGAATGTTTAGAATGTCAGGTACTTCCCCTTAGATGCAGGCCCTCCCTGGGTGGAGTCAGCATATGGCTTTTCCTGGGTCTGGGTGTTGCCTGCCAGTGAACCTGTCACAGAAGCTGTGTGTCTGGGCCTCTAAGCCTGTCATGGCAGCTGTGTGGACAAGCTGTTCTGGGTCCCCCACAGAGGCATCTGAACTCCTGTGCAGATTACTGGCAAAGGCCAAGTCACAGGCCCTGGACAGCTTTGATCTTCCAGGAATGGATTCGGGTTCCCTGAGAAAGTGGAGGTTCCCTTTGTGCATAAAGAGGAAGGGGGAAGGGGTCTCGCTACTTTGCAGCATTTTAGCGCAGCGCCCAAACACTCCTCCCTTGCTGGAGCCTGGATTTTTTGTTTGTTTGGTTGGTTTGTTTTGTTTTGCTTTTCGAGACAGGGTTTCTCTGTGTAGCTTTGGCACCTTTCCTAGAACTCATTCTGTAGCCCAGGCTGGACTCGAACTCACAGAGATCCGCCTGGCTCTGCCTCCTGAGTGCTGGGGTTAAAGGTGTGCGCCACCATCGCCCGGCGCCGGGATATTTTTTTTACATGCAGGTCTGGACACATCCCGTCTTCTTCGGTAGCTACACTCCCCCAAAAATAAAGTGCCTGTGAGCGCAGGCTTTATGAGTTTGCTCCTAATTTTGCTGCTTGAGAAACTGAGCGGAACGTCACGAAAGACACGGGCAGGTAAACTCCAGCAACGAAGGCGCGGGAGCCTAGGTAGGCGGGGCCTGGCGCTGTCCGTCATTCGGGCACCGCCCCCCGGCTCCGCCCTCCCATAGGCCCGGTCCTTCTCCAGCGGGCCCCACCCGGCGCCGAGTTTGACGTCACTGTCTGCGCCGCGCGCCGTAGGTACAGGAAGTGGGATCAAAACAAAGGAGCGCCGGCTGGAAGCGGACCTCCTGGAGCCGGTGTCTCTGCTGCTTCGCCCCCGGCCCACTCCACAGAAGCCGCACAACTTTGTCCAACATGGAGAAACACCTGTTCAACCTGAAGTTCGCGGCCAAAGAACTGAACAGGAGTGCCAAAAAATGCGACAAGGAGGAAAAGGCCGAAAAGGCCAAAATTAAAAAGGCCATTCAGAAGGGCAACATGGAAGTTGCGAGGATACACGCCGAAAATGCCATCCGCCAGAAGAACCAAGGGGTGAATTTCTTGAGAATGAGTGCGCGGGTGGATGCGGTGGCTGCCCGAGTCCAGACCGCGGTGACGATGGGCAAAGTGACCAAGTCCATGGCCGGTGTGGTTAAGTCGATGGATGCGACGTTGAAGACCATGAATCTGGAGAAGATCTCTGCTTTGATGGACAAGTTCGAGCACCAGTTTGAGACCCTGGACGTCCAGACGCAGCAAATGGAAGACACGATGAGCAGTACGACGACGCTGACCACTCCCCAGAACCAGGTGGATATGCTGCTCCAGGAAATGGCTGATGAGGCGGGCCTCGACCTCAACATGGAGCTGCCGCAGGGCCAGACCGGTTCCGTGGGAATGAGCGTGGCTTCGGCTGAGCAGGATGAACTGTCCCAGAGACTGGCCCGCCTTCGGGATCAAGTCTGACTGCAGAAGCTCTCCGAGGTTTACTTTTGACGCGCTCTCTGCGTTTTAGAGAGGTGCCCTAGAATTGTGCCAGAATACCGACGACTCTTCCTTCTAAAAACCTTTGGGTTTACAACCCTCTCCAGATAGGATAAGGAATTCCAGTTTTCCTCCACCTCTAACTGGATTTTAAAGTTCTTTATAGCTTATGATGATGTGTATTTTTTATAGCTGCCTTTTAACGAAACCGGTTAATTTGCTGTATATGAATCTAGAAAAATCGGCAGAACTCTAGTCCTCATGTATTCCGTTTTCACTTAGAATCATCAGATTGAAGTTTATTTTTAGTGTGGTTGATGATACATAGACTGATAAGTGGCACAAAAAATTAAATGAGGAGGAATGGGTACTTTATTTACAAATTTGTAAACATTTTGTTCAACTTATTCGGTGGGAAATACTCTTTCTGTATATCATTTGGTTTTCTTTTTTCTATCAAAGAAAGACTATAATTGACTATTAATTTATTCTCATAACTTATACTAAAGTTACCTTAGAAGATTTTTGAAAATACTCGTTTTACATCCTGTTAGTTCGTATAATAATGGAGTTTGTATAACTGGGAAAAAATACCACATAACTTATTACCAGGAAAAATTAAAATTTGTTCATTTATATTCCAATTTACCAAGAATTCTTAAGGCTTAACATTTGATAATTTCTAGTTATTTGCTAATGAAAGTCAATCTTTATTGACTTCTGATCAAAATAATGTTCATCAACATGGCAGTCCTATTACACACCTAACATTGCCAAAGAACTGCCGATTTGGTCCAGGTAAATCCTGGAACTATGTCACTATAGGTTTTGTTTTTATTTAATAACCAAAAATATAAATAAAATTAGAACAGCCTTTTTAAGTTCTAATTATTTGTATGTATTATTTTGTCTTAAAGCAGCAACTCTTTTAAAACCTTAAAAAGCATAAGTTAATGCTGTAGATCTGCAAAGCTTAAATGAACATTTAGCCAGCTGGAAGTCTCTGACCCAGGAGTGAGCTGGGATTAGAAGGAGAGAGATAGAGGCTAGAAGCCTCCACCACCATCCGCCTTCCTATTTTCCGCTGGTGGAAAGCAAAGCAGCTGCCGTTTTCTCCCGGCCTCCAAACACAGAGAACAAGTGTTTGCTTGGCACATACATTAACCCAAGTTAAATACTTACAAAGTTTGTTTTATTTAATTTCCCCTTTTCCTGGTTGGTTTTTTTTTTTTCTATTAAGAGAATTCTAATATTTCAGACAAAAATAGAGCAACAAAACTCTGAAAAATCCATTATAGTGTGGTTTCCCATGTGACTGTTAATGAAAAAAAGTACAAGCCTGCACAGATGAGTACTAAAGCTCAGTGTGTGTGTGTGTGTGTGTGTGTGTGTGTGTGTGTGTGTGTGTACATACTTACACATTTTTTTTTTTTTGATAAGTGCTCTAAGGGACACCTTAGCCGCCTGGTTTCCTCTCAAAGGACCTTTACCAGACATGTTTTCTCATATACACAGTTGTGCTGAGTCAGGCATGCGTCAATAAAACCTGTGCCTTCATCCTTTAGACTGGAAAACCTTGATTAGTTACACAACATTGAAAAAATAGCTTAGTATTGACTCCTTGGTAAATTGAAGACCCTTTTATACTGCAAATATTTCCATCAAAATATATTTTGTGAGATTGAACAATACTATATATGCTTAAACTTTCTTAAAATATGTTCATTTCATACTATATAAATGTACATTTTTATGAATCATAAACATTATTTTCAAACACTACAGGCCCGTGAATTATTTCCTCACCTTTAAAATTGATGTAGTTTTAATTTTTAAATCATGAAAACTGGATGAATATATTTTAAAGGATGTATTATTACATGTGAGTATGGATCTCAGCATAGAGTGTATATTTAGCATCCTAGAGACCCTGGGCTAGATCCCCAGCACCACACAAAGGGGATGGGACAGGAGAACTCAGAGGTAGATTTGGTTCAGAGAGCATGCTATTTTTCAAAAGTTGGCCTCAAACCTAAATTTTTATCTTGGTAGCTTGGCATTTTCTTGAATATTCCTGGGAGCCTTGGTATTCTTACTCTGGATCTTTTCTAAGCTGGGTTTTAGAATTAATGGAGGGGGGGAGACTGATGTGCAAACTCAACTTTCCTCTATTAGTTTATTTTAGTGCGGGGGCCCCAGATGTGTGTAATTGGAGAACATTCTAACCAGAACTGTTCTTTCTATTGCCTTTGATTGGGGGGCAGCAGGAGGAACACTAGTCTGGTCTGGTGACCTTATTAACCCAGTCTATATGTAATCACTAGTGAAGGATTTCTCTGCGATACATACAACATCCTCCTGGGGGCGTTTGCTGTCAAAAAATATCTCAAAAGTCTCAGCAAAATCTACAAAGCAGGGGACATTAAGCAGACTGGTGATGGGCCTATTCCTTTCTTTTCTTTCCCTCTGCTACTTCCTGGTCTAATAAACTATCTGCCCAGTTTCCCAAGTTCATTTTCTACAGTTACATTCTCAGGCCAGTGGGGAGCAAGCCAGACAGAATCTGGTCATACAGTAGGCTCCTGAGAATGTCTCAGATTCATAGCATTGCTTGTATATGACAGTACTCAGAGTTCCCGGGTGACCACAGGCAGACTGTTTATGTCGGTACAGTGAGCACAGGCCTGAGCCCTGGTACTCTTACCATGTGGATATTTTTATTCATCAGTACTTTTATCTTGTAGGTAAGCATCATGATTCAGAGGAATATTTCTTACATCCCTCAACAGTTATAGCTTGCTCTTTTTTTTTTTTCCAACAAAGAAATGATTTCAAATGTGGATTGATGACAGGTAGTTGGTGGTTTTCCTCAGATCCAGCAGTCTAATTACAAAAGATCCCCAACAACCTCTCCATGACTGTCCTTGTCCTAGCTTGTCCCCACTTCTTGACCACCTTCATGGCCACCAACTTTGAGTTATTGTAGTAAAAACCCTCCCGCCACCATTCATACCTTCAGCTGTCGCTGGAAAAACTGAAAAATAGCAAAGCCAGTTGGTGGGGCGGGGAGTCATTGTTTGTTTTCTGTGCTGGGGTTTAAACCCAGAGCCTCATCATACACACTACATGAGCATTTACCACTGAGCTATATCCCCAGTCTTTCCTCTCCCCCCTATCCCCTACTTTTTAATTTGAGACAGAATCTCACTAAGTTTCCAAGCTGGCCTTGAACCCACTTTGTAGCTCAGGCAAGCCTTGACCTTGGAATGCCTCTGCCACAGCCTCCCTAGTAACTGAGAATACAAACAGCACCAGGCTCGGTCCTCCTTAACACAAGTAGTTTTTTTTTACAGTTGGAGTTTTCTGTGGTTGTACAGCTCTGTGTGGCCTTCTGAACTACAAAGGGACATTTGTAGGGGACGTTCTTGGATGGCCCAGTGTTTTCTGCTTCACACGAAACATCCCACTTAAGGAGAATGTCACAACTCTGGAAAAGCTTCCTAAGACATCTGTCCAGTTAGGTACAAGCCCCAGCTTGAAGAAGTACTTCTGCAGGTTGCTTGGATCGAGGCTAAGGGTCAGAGCTGGACAGGATTTTGGAAAGCACCTTGGAGAGGAGAGTGAGTCGGGAAGGACCGAGGCGCCTTTGCCTCTCTCGTTGACACCTCAGTCTCACAACCTGAACAGGCTTCAGGAAGGTTCCCCCCACTTCCCTCCCACCACTTCCTCTGGAAGGCAGTGTTTAATTACATCCCTCAAGAACCTCATATGTACTTTCTGTCAACCATATTTCACTCTTTCTCCTTGTAATGATTATCATCCAAGTATATTCGCCCACCTGCTCCACCCTGTGTGCACCGTTTTAAATTGGTCGCTTCCTCAGCTAACTGGCTCCAGCCACCAGCCTCATATTTAATTTCTAGCTCCTTCCAGCCCTTCCCGTCAAGGACCTTGCTCTCTCAGTTGAGGGAGGAGTTGGATGTATGTTCCTTCCATGGATGTTTCCTAAGGACTGGGCACTGCACTGAGTGTTGGGGACCCCAGAGTCTCCAAGACAAAGACCTGTACTCTGGGTGCTATGCTTTTTGACTGAAAAGAAATAAATAATGTCAATGTGTGACAAGTGCTCCTGGGACCTGAAAAGCCAGGCCTCATGACAACGGGTGCTGTCTGAAACAGGGTCTTACCTCTGAGAGCAGGAGGAGCAGGTGACCTGCTACCTAGGAACAGGAAAGACTTAAAAGATGTCGCAAGTTGACTCACCTGCCACACTCTGCACAGGTCTGGTCGTCCTGTCCTTGAACTGACTTACACTGAGAGCTGCTGCTGGGCCTGTGCCCATGAAATCTGCAGCTACTCTCTCTCACCTGCACACACTCACAACCATCCTTCCACACCCTCACACCACTGTCCACACCGACATCTTCTTATTCACACAGTCTTATTCTCACAAACATGCAAACATAAATATAACATATAGTCATACTCGCACACGCTCAGACTTTCATGCACCTATTATATTTTTGTTCCTGTTAGGACAGTTGCTGCTTTCTGGTTTGTATTCACGTTTTGTCTTAACGTGTATTACAACTCTTTTTCCTACCAGCTTGGCCGTGGGAGGGGGCTTCATTCCCCCTCCCAGTTTCCAAGCAGCCACTTCTTCCAGCCTTCCAGGACTGGGGAAGAGGGAGGGCGGAAGGAAAACAGAGACGAAAGAACAGAATGTCAAAGTCAAACCAAATGCAGGCCTTGGCCTCCCCTTGAGACAGACACCTAGCAGCACCCGGGCCTGTCCTCGATGTCACTTTGCAAATGCTCCACTAGCGCAGCCAAGGCCCTGGGATAAAGGAGCTAGTCTGACCTTGTCCTGGCTTTCCTTGCAGCTTCCTGGAAAGGATTGACAGCGTCAGTCTGGTTGACTACACACCCACGGACCAGGTATGTGAAAGTAAAGCCGTCGGAAGCTCTCTGAGATAGTCTGCCAAGAGCGTCCCGTGGTAATTTAGAAGATTCAGGGAAAACCTGCTCATAATCACTGTTTCTTGCACCTTGCCATGCTGCCCCTCACATTGGCCCAGCCACCAAGTTCTGAGTCCTCACTCTCCTATCTTGTGCTGTGACGCCTAGTGTGGAAGGAAGAGCCCATACAGAGTAGGAATATGGATTCCCAGGCTTCCTAGGCCCATGAGTGAGAAAGCCAGGCCTTCACTTCCCTGTAGTACACTGGGTCCTTTCTGCTTTGGACTCCAGGCTTGAACCCCAGGTACCATAGCACATCTCCAGGTGTGCCACAAGTGTGTCCCTTGGATTGAGCCAGCCAGAAAGAAGAAATGAATGGAAAGAAAGTAAAAGGAGAAAAAAAAGAGCCAGGAAACCCCACCTAAGATAGTTCACGCAAACTAGTCCTCCTAATGTACCCCAAGCATTTGCAACCCCTGGGGCCTGGGACTTGAACCACATGGAGGCTCCCTTTCCTCTGTGTCTCCTGGAGATTGAAGTTTCTCTTTCTTCTCTGGGGTCCCTGTCTTTACGGCTGACTCAAATAGCTTAAAATAATCATCCAGTACGAGGCTCAGGAGGTTTCTGGGGGAGTCAATGATTTCTGGGGAAGGTAGAGCCATTTTTCTCTACTCCTGTAAATAACCCTTCACTCATGCTCCTGCAAGCAACCCTGATTTAAAAAAAAAAAAAAAAAGATAAAGAAATCATGAAACTAGAAGGGACTGGTTGGAAAGAGGAAGTGGCATTGGAAGGAGGGAAAGAAAGTAATAGGAGAAAAGGGAACATGCTCAAAATAAATTCTATATATGTACAAAAGTATCATACTCTATAATTAATATATACTAATAAAAATATATCCTATGATATAACCTGGGCCCTCTAACATTAAGAGAACTCCTCAAAGGTGACCTACGCAGGTGTGGTGATATGATTATAAAACAGCAGAAACATCGATCATCTTCCAGAGTGGCTGATTCGTAAATAGCATAATGACACCTGCCCGGTACAGGGAGACGTCCACTCTGTGAAACTGCATAGCTTTCCCATGCCCTTGGGAGCACCTCATCTTGGAGAGAGCAGAACTGTGCAAGGAAGAGACAACAAACCCACTGACGTGAAGTAGCTTCCAGCCCTGAGATCCCTGACTTATGAACGAGAGTTTAGCTTCTACCGACCCTTCCCAGCAGAGACTTCCAGATGTAGCCACAGGGCATAGGCCAAGGCTCTGTCCCTGAACACTGTGCACTGAGGTTTGGCTGTCATGTACCAGCAAGATATGGGCATGAATCACTTCCTAAAAGTCTTGAGAGGCATGCAAACCCAGTTACTGTGTGAAGGGCCCAACTGATTAACTGGGGGGTTTCTACATCTGCATTTTAACTACTCCTCTTTGTTACAATAGACCTTGTCCTTTCTCAGTTACCACACTTAGGTCAGGGCACACCTCACTTCTCTCTTCTTCTTCCAGGACCTCCTCAGATGCAGAGTGCTGACTTCAGGAATTTTCGAGACACGATTCCAAGTTGACAAAGTGAACTTTCAGTGAGTACATTGCTAAGAGTGTGTCCCGTGACAGGGATAGTGGAGGGACGCCCAGCCTGGTGCCAGCCTCTGGACAGAATGGGAGCCACAAGGCCTTGAGGCTAAAGGGGTTGGAATGAGGATTCAGGACAGGCCATGTGAGACTGTCCTGAATCCCCAGCAAGGGCACTGAGAAGTTCACCCATAGGGAGACACAGCTCCAGGAGAGGGGAGCACTGAGCAGGGCAGAGTGAGAAGGG